CATTCGCTTGTGACTCTCCATTTTCCATCCCTCTCTGAGTTGTTTTGTGACCTTCTCCACTTTTTCAGCATCAACATACTTGTTTCCCTTTTTTAATAGGTCGTGCATTGACTCTGGGGGGTTTCTCGAAAAGTGACATCTTGAAGGCCCAGTTCCGATTTCCGTTCATTAGCGTGGTCACCACTGCTGACATTTGGAGATCCTCTATTCCAAGGGATGCTCGGCTGAATCTGGCCAGATACTCTTGTAGAGACTCGTCCTTCTCCTAGACCACCTGCATCAGCCCGTTGGCTGTCTTCCTCTTTTTTTTACTATTGAGGAAGTAGGTCACAAAGTTCCTGTAAAGTTCATCAAATGTTCAGATAGATCAGGGAGCAAGTGTCGCCACCCAGTCTCTAGCTTCTCTCCTGAGGGTCAGGGGGAAAGACCGACACACGACTGCATCAGGTGCTTCATTCAAATTCAACAACAATAACAAAGTTTTATCCTCATCTTCGAGAATACTTCATTCAAATTCAACAAGTTAGCTAACTAACTGATTAGAAGTGATATGAACGTCAATAGTGATACCTAGTTGATATTGGAAGTTCAAGAGTTTATTTTTCTAATTGAGTCGATTTCCAATTCTCTTTCAATTAAATTTTCCTCTAGTGCTCTCCACATCTTTCTCTTAGATATAACGGATACTTCTGATTATCAGATACAAAAAATTACGAGTTTTACCAACTGCATTGAGATTGATTTTTGTGTGCATTAGTATCTTTTCTAACTTTTCTTCCAAACCAATTTCTAGTTTCCAACTTATTGGCATGCCTAAGACCACACATTGCTACATACCGAAATTATCGTACCATGCCAATTGTTCGAAAAACGCATGTCAAATATTGCTAATGGAATAATAATAAGAAAGAAAAATACTGAGTCCAAAAATATAAGAAAAATGAGAACCCAAGAATTTACGAGGTTTGGTAAAATTTACTTGTGTCGTCAGGCATTACAAAGCCTGTCCTCTAACTTTAAAAGAGGAATATTACAAACTTTAGTGCAATTGTGAAATTACGTAAAACTAGATGATTTTCGAGATATCATCTTCCTAAATCGATATGAACTTAGAAAAGAAAACAATATTTAACATTGATTTTTATTTTTTGAGAGCTCTACTATTCCTTTTCTTAGCTGTGACTATGTAACGAGTAAATGGCTTGTTATAGTTTACAGAGTTTCCATAGGAGGCTCGGCTTTATTCAACTTCAGATTATCCTCTTTAAAAAAGGGTCTAAATGCTGTGGGGTACGTCCAAGCTAATATTTTCCCACTTAATCTCACAATGATCGTAGCTAGTAGAGAATGCCTTAGCAAGACTGAATGTAGTTCATATAATGAGATTTGAAAAAATTTCATATTGGCTATTCAAATTACCACGAATCTCCCAATTTTCTCAGGCTACGAAAAAAAAATTAATAAGGTTAGAGAGAGATGCCCTTAAATTCTAGTGAGAGAAAGTCCCACTTGAGTGCCTTGATTTCATGAGTTTTTCCTTATGTTGGGTTTGATTTTTTACTTTTTAGTGAAAATCGAATTTAACATATTTCATTTCAGTTTGGTTTGCTCATATCGGAGTTTTTTGGTGGTAACTTTCTGGTCATAAGTTATATTGTTCACGGTTCTTGTTCTTGGACATTGTGCCGGTTTGGGTTCCTAGTTCTAGCTTTGGTCTACAACATTGATTACTTTAGCTTTCTTTTCGTCCAGTTTGTCTTTCTCTTCGATTTTCTTAGCTGGTTTGGTTTTCTTGGGTAGCAAACTGTTCTTTTCTCCTTGGTTCTAGTTTCGTTATTGGCTATCGGGTCCTCTAGTTTCAGGCCAGTATTTTGCTTGTGTTGGTTTTTTATTCTGTTCTTCAGTTCGTTTCTTGGCTATCGTTTCTGCGGGGTGTTCTTGGTTCTTTATTGGAGTTTGTGTTTTCTTGTCTATGTATTGTGTATTTATTCCTGCTGGTCAGTTGATTTTTGAATTTGCTCTCAGGTTTCTGCATTAGCTGGCGTGTTTTTTGGTGTTGGTGGCTGACTTTTGCAGTTTTGGTGTTACCTTGGCCATGTCTTCTGACCTTTCTGACTTTTTGCAATATTTTGCTTCTTCTATTCCTGGTTTTCTTTGACATCTTACTGATTATTTGGTCGTGGGTCAGGTCATTTAACTGACATTGGACTATCCTATCTTCTCCTGGGCTTTTTTATTTCACGGCCGGGCCTTCTTGTTGGGACTATTTGTGTTGGGTCTTTATCAGTTCTCAGTTAATTTTGGGCTACTCTTATTTCATCTTCGTTCTCTGCTACCTGTTTCCTTCCCAGCAGGCCATGGTTTTTGCTTTTTCATGGGTAAGAAAAAATATGTTGCAAGCCTTTACTCTGGGCTGACACCTCTTAAGCCCCAGACTGTCCGGTAAGGTGATGGTTCCGGGGGTATTGCTGCCCCTTCGAAGTCCAATATTGCGGAGAGTAACAAGGTGAGTTTGCCTTCACAAAGTATATCATTTACATTTGGAGAAAATGATAGGGAATCTGAAAATTCTGACTTTGAATTGAATTTGGTGGATTTGAAGCAACAAAATAATGCTTATGTTATAGAAATGAGGTTGTAAAAGATACTAAAGCTCCATGGGTTGATCTCTTTAAAGACGATAGGAAAATGGAGGAAATTTTAAGTTGAAGCCTTTTGCAAATCATTTGGAGGAAGTTGTTTTGGGAGAATTGGATGAAGATAATATCGAGAATACTTGGGGGTATGTCTCTTAGATACTTTGCTGGTTGGTTTTTGGCGAAAGTGGCTTCAGTCCAATTGTGTGATTCTTGGAAGGTCGAGTATAAATTATTTTGTGCACTCAAGCGGGTGGTTGGTTTTCAAATTTGAGACGGATGTGGATAGACTAAGTGTGTTGCATGGTGGTCCGTACTTGGTTTATGGAAGACCATTAATGTTAAAAGTCATGCCCTGTTATTTTGATTTTGATGACAAAAATGTTAGCACTATGCCGGTTTGGGTCAACTTGCCGGGATTGCCTTTAGAGTTTTGGAATACGAATGCTTTGGGTAAAATTGTCTCCAAAGTTGGCAAACCCATTTCGACCGATAAGGTCACGAAAAGTAGGAGCAGACTTTCCTATGTAAGAGCACTAGTTGAAGTTGATGCTTCTATCGTGCTTGTATGGGTGGTAAAGATTAGACTTCCAAATGGCATCTTGAGAAAGCAAGAAATTATTTTTTAGCACGAACCTAAATTTTTTGGTTCTTGCAAAGTCTTTGGGCATTCATCTATTGGTTGCAATTTTAAGAAAAAATCTATGGGTGACAATAGCAAGCCCATAAGTAGGGAGACATCTAAACCCACTTCACAGGCTGCCTCTAAACTAAATTTGAACTCAGGCTCAACCTGGGGCTATTGACGGGTAGATTAGCCAGGCTGAGGACCAGCCGGACACCCCCTTTGTTGACTTAATTCACAGAAGAAATGGGGCTACCCGTAAAAGGAATTCAATTTCTATTGAACCTACCCAACCGCAGACTAGCACATGCTGTCATACGGACTATGTGGTGGCTGGTCCTATGTTCAAAATCATAGGGGCAACTTCGAAAAATGTAAGCAATGAAAAGCTTAAAGGTAAAGTTGATGAGGTAAGGAATGTGGTGAAAAAACCCGAAAAGAAGAAAGGTACCTCCCTTGCGTCAACATCATGAAGATCGGCGCATGGAATATTAGGGGCTTTAACCTGCACCTAAAACGAAATGGGATTAAAGGTTTCATGAAACAACATGAGATTGATGGTATGGGTATTTTGGAAACAAAATTGAAAGATTCGAAACTTTGCCAAATTATAAGGAATAAATTTGGTGGTTTCAACTTTGCAAACAACTTTCAACATCATAAAGCAGGCCGTATTTTGGTTTTGTGGAGTTCTATGAAGGCTGAATTGGAAGTTTTGGAGACTACCGCACAAGTCATCCATTGCTCAATCATGTGCAAGGTAACTTCACGTTCTTTCGTTGTTAGTTTTGTCTATGCATTCCATACTATTGTGACTCGCAAGCCTTTATGGAATAACATTGAGGAATTCGGTCTCAATTGCTCCTTACCATGGTTGGTCTTAGGGCATTTCAATAATGTGCTAAATTTTGATGAGAATAGTAATGGAGCCAATGTCACGCTGTATGAGATTAAGACTTGGATAAATATTGCCATATTGTTGGACTTTTGGATTTGTAGTCTATACTTGGAACAATAATTCCGTTTGGAGCAAACTTGATAGAGCCATGATAAATGAAACTTGGATGCTTGAGAGTTATGATAGTTTTGCAAACTTTCTTCCATTAGGGTGCCTCTCCGATCACTCACCTTGTATTGTTTCAATTTTCGGGGAAGTTGATAGGAAGAAAAGGCCCTTCAAAATTTTCAACATGTGGACATGCCATGAGGATTTTCATGAAGTGGTATCAAATGGTTGGAATAAAGTCTTTTTGGGATCTAAACAATTCTCTCTTTGTAAGAAATTACAAAGTCTTAAAGGGATGCTTAAGAAGCTCAACAATAAGCATTTTGCTCACATTTCCTCTCTAGCCGACTTTGCTTCAAAAAAGTTAGAATTGGCACAAGTTGAATTGCATAATGATCAACAAAATCTTCAATTAAAGTGTGAAGTTTTTAGATTGAGAAAGGAGGCTACCACACTATGTGAAGCGGAAAGGAGTTTCAATTACCAAAAAGCAAAGTGCATGCATTTGAAGAATAGTGATAAATGCACCCAAGTATTTCCACTCTTTGGTCAAGAGAAATGCTAAAAGAAACTTCATTCCAGCTATTATCAAGAGGGATGGTAATTACTCTACCTCCCAAGAAGAGGTGGCAACGGAATTCACTCACTTTTATAGTGAATTGTTGGAAAAAAACTGTTGGACGACAATTTAATGATGAAATTCTAAGAGGAGGACCTATGTTGTCGGAGGAAAATGCTATGTTACTCGTCACGGACATCACGAGACAAGAGATCAAAGATGCTCTTTTTAGTATTGGGGACGACAAATCACCGGGTCCGGATGGATACACATCTTGTTTTTTCAAAAAAATCATGGGATATTGCTGGCAATGATTTCATGGAAGCAATTGAAGATTTTTTTGCATCGAGGTCTCTACTCAAGCAAATCAATCACACCATCATTGCTTTAGTACCAAAGGGTAATCATTCTACATTGGTTGGGGACTATAGGCCCACTCATTGTTGTAATGTCTTTTATAAAGTCATTACAAAGATCATTGCTTCTCGTTTGAAGCCTATGTTTGTTGACCAAGCACAAACCACTGTTGTGGAAGGACGGAGCATGATTGAAAATATTTACTTGGCACAAGAGCTTTTGAGGCAATACAATAGCAAGAGGTGGCTCCTAGATGTCTTCTTAAAATTGACCTAAGGAAGGCCTATGACTCGGTGAATTGGGATTTTCTTGTTAAAGTCCTTGAAGAATTGGGTTTCCCCAATACTTTTGTTGATTGGATTATGGAGTGTCTGACAACTCCATCTTATTCCATCACTCTTAATGGAGTCTTTCATGGTTTTTTCAAAGGAAAGAAAGGTCTACGCTAAGGTGACCCGTTATCTCCTTACTTGTTTATCTTATACCTTGAACATTTCTTTAGAATGGTAAAGGAGGCTATAAAGGATAGCGATTTCAATTTTCATCCTAAATGTGCACACTTTAAGATTACACACTTAGCTTTTGCGGATGATTTGATGCTTTTTGCTAGAGGGGATGTAATGTCGGTGGATATCTTAATGAAATGTCTTTCAAATTTTGGTGCCATGTCGGTCTCAATATAAATGTTGGGAAATCTTGTATTTACACCGTGGGGATTCATGGTCAAGAATTGGAGGATGTCCTTGCTCTTTCTGATCTCCCAATTGGTACCATGCCATTTCGTTACTTGGGCATCCCACTTGCAGCGAAAAAATTGAAAGTTAGTTCATACGATTCATTCACCAATAAAATCTCTTCCTATATTGGTACATGGTCGACTTCTTCATTATCATATGCGGGTAGAGCGAAATTTGTGCCAGTCGTTCTACAAGGAGTGGAATGTTTTTGGTTATCAATTTTTCCCATTCCGGTAACGATAATTTTTAAGATGGTTAGTCTTTGTTGAAGGTTCTTATGGGGGTCTAAAAAACCATTGGTAGCTTGGAATCAAATTTTCCTTCCAAAGCATGAGGGCCGGCTCGGTTTTAGAGATACGAAAAGTTGGAATGCTGCTCTCCTTTCCAAAACACTTTAGAACATTCACAGCAAAAAGAATACTCTATGGATTAAATGGATAAAAAAAAAAGTACACCTTCAAGGTTTGGATATTTGGACATGTAGAGTGAAGAAGGATGATTCTCCACTTCTTAAAAAGCTGCTGGAAATAAGAGACAGCATTGTTGAATCACATAGCGATGAACAAGCTGGAATTAACTTATTATGTAGCTAGACAGATTCTGGGATTTTCAGAACCACAGCTGCCTATGATTTCTTCGGACTGAAAGGAGTTAAAACCGGCTGGCCACCTCTGTTTGGGAATGTTCTATCACTCCTAAACATTCATTCATCCTTTGGTTAGCTGTTCGGGGAAAATTGGAAACTAAAGACAAGTTGACGCATCTTGACTTGACTTGGACCGAATCTGTCCGGGAGTCTTCGATGAAACTGCCCAACACCTCTTCTTTTCATGCCCTTTTTGTAGAGATGTTTAGGATCATATCCGACATTGGTTGGCTATTCGACGCACCAAGTCTACTTTGTTGAGTTCTTTAAAATGGATGAAAAAGGAAGCCCGTGGTAAGACTTGGCCAAGTAGAGCAAAACGTGTTGCACTTGCAACAGCTGTGTACCACATTTGGATGGCAAGGAACAGATGTATTTTTGAAGGTATTAAGCCACATCTTGAATCTATTGTAAGACAAATTAAAACACACATATACAAGGTTATGTTCACCTTGTATCCGTATGTTTTGATTCAATTTGAATCTTTTGTAGTCGATTTTAAGATCGATGTTGGTGCATCTATTTTTATTTAATACTCTCAGGTATGTCCGGTGTACATGTATTGGTTACTTACCTTCTAATTTTTCGGGTATGCCCAGTGTACTTGTAAATTAATTTTGATCTATGGAATTTAACATTTACCGATTAAAAAAAAAGTTCAAGTTAACTGAAAAATCTGATCTAATCCTCGTAATACAAGTTTATATTTGTACTCCCCAAAGAGACAATGAAATAATTCGATTTTATCGATTATATTAAACCTCACAAACTCTTTGCCGGCTGTCGTTCAATCGAACTTCTTCTACCCCCTGCAATTTCAACAAGAAACCAAATCTATTCTTCTTAAGGTAGAAAAGCCAAGAGTTAATTCATTAATTACATGACTAAGCAAGCAATGTTTGCCACTGATTATGCAAATGAACTTGGTTTTGCATACTGCTGTCCTTATTTTCTTTTGGCTACAACTTCTACTATTGCATGCTAACAATAGTAACATCGCCACTGCGAAATCTGGCTGCCAAAGCACGTGTGGGAATCTAATTGTTCCATACCCTTTTGGTACTGGCGTAAATGTTAGTTGTTCCCTCAATCCGTCGTTCAATATCAACTGTGATACATTTTCAGACCCTCCCAAGGCCTTTCTTGGCACAACTGATCTCGAGGTCACAGCTATTTTTGACAACAAAATATGGGTCAAGAATTTCTTGGCATCAGTATGCTATGATAAAGATGGAAATGCACCTACAAATAACTTGGTGTCTATCAATTTAATGAACACTTCTTTTAGCCTGTCTACTGAAAACCAGCTCACAGTCATTGGATGTGATTCTATTCATTGTTAGAAGATATGGAAGATTCCATAAGTGCTTGCGTCGGTATATGTTCAAAAATCCAGGATTTGAGTGAAGGAGTTTGCTCTGGAATTGGCTGTTGGTACTGAAAACTAGCTCACAGTCATTGGATGTGATGACTATTCATTGTAAGAAGATATGGAAGATTCCATAAGTGCTAGCGTTGGTATATGTTCGAAAATCCAGGATTTGAGTGAAGGAGTTTTCTCTCGAATTGACTGTTGCCAAGCCTCCATAACAAAGGGTTTACAGTATTTCCATATTTACAGTATTTCCATATTTCCCTGACAAGCTTGAATGGTCATCATAATGTCTAGTCATTTAATCCCTGTGGCTACGCATTTCTTGGAAAGCGGGATAGGAACACATTTCGCATATCTCATCTCAATAATATGTCGATCTCATTAGATAACGTGCCCTTGGTGATTGAATGGGAAATTGGAGACAAAAATTGAACTGAAGCTCAGAATTCGATTGGCATTAACCTATGTTATGGAGAAAGCATTTGTGTTGATTCTGGTACTGGAATAGGGGGATACAACAGCAAATGCTCTATAGGATCTATAGGCAATCCTTATCTCAGTCCGGGCTACGTAGGTTAGTTAATAAGGATTTTTCCCTATTCAATAAAAATATGTACACCATCAGTTTTTGGCCTGGCTATTATCGAGCTAATTTGATGAAACTTCCTCTGCTAGATGTTGATGAATGCAAGGATCATCCATGTGATGAATTTACAACCTGCGATAGCTTTCCAGGTAATTACAGTTGTGAATGTCGGAAAGGATATCTCAATGATGGCAGAAAAGATGGTCTCGGTTTCTTTCTCATGCAACCTTCAACATACTCCTATAGTTAATGTAGGTAATGAATCTCTCATGCAATAAGTGATGTAGAATTTAGAAAGTATCATTTTTGACATAGGTGGAAAAGACAGTGTAAACTTCAGGTGCATGTTTAGGTTGTGGTTTATAGCTAATGAATTCTTAATAAAACTATCGAAATCTGCCTTTGCAACCAGAGATCATCTGATACGTTGGCTATGACGGTACAATTAACTATCTTAAGATAGATGCTATGGATTTTTCATATAGGTTTATGCATAGCCTTGGTATTATTGTTCCTATTGGGGGTTACCTTCGTGTTGTACAAAGTATTGAAGAAGAGGAAAAGAAATAAGTGCAAACAGAAATTTTTCCAGCGAAATGGAGGTCTTTTGTTACAACAACAGATATCATCTAATGAAGATGTCCTTGAGAGAATGAAACTTTTCCGGTCCAAGGAGTTGGAGAAGGCAACTGATCGCTTCAATGAAAGCCGAATAATAGGTAAAGGAGGCCGAGGTACGGTCTATAAAGGCATGCTATCAGATGGAAGAATAGTCACAGTGAAGAAATCCCAATCAGTCAATGCAAATCAACAAGAGGAATTTATAAACGAGGTTGTCATACTTTCACAAATAAATCACAGAAATATTGTGAAGTTACTAGGATGTTGCTTAGAGTCTGAAGTTCCATTGCTAGTTTATGAATTCATTTCCAATGGAACCCTCTTTGACCTCATACATGATGAAAGTCCCAATTTTCCATTTTCATGGGATGTGCGCTCGAGAATCGCTGACGAAGTAACAAATGCCCTTGCCTATTTGCACTATGCATCTTCCATTCCCATTTATCACCGGGACATCAAGTCGAATAATATGCTTTTCAAGGTCTATTGCATTAGATCAAACGCACTTAACCACCAAGATCAAAGGGACATTTGGGTATCTAGATCCAGAGTACTTTCAGTCAAACCAATTCACAGAAAAGAGTGATGTTTATAGCTTTGGCGTCATTATGGTGGAGCTTTTGACAGGACAAAAGCAAATATCTTCAAGTCCATCAGAAGAGGAACTATGTTTAGTAACACTTTCTCTTTTATCCATGAAAGGAAAATAGCTTAACACAATTCTTGATCCTCGAATGCAAGAAGGTGCGAAGAAAGAGATCTATATATATATATATATATATATAGCTTTTAAAAGTTTATTATGAATTATTTTAAAACATCAGTAGAAAAGTAATTCAATTACAAAATTATCATTTGAAATGAGTTATTTACGTTTAAAATTTTCCAATTTACTATAATTAAAAAAAAAATCATTCTTCGCCATTTAGTCCACCACAACCTCCTTCATACCAACCCCATGAAACTACTAGTCAAATTGAAAATAAATAAAAGTAGAACATGAAATTGCTTGTCATTCATTTAATCTAACAATAGAAAAAATCTATTTAAAAAAAAAGAACGAACTCCAAAAGCTGAAGATCAACTCATATATGTGAAAAAATGACAAATTATTAAACACAGCATAAACACTAAAATGTGGATCAAAAATATATTAAGAATGCGTATAATAATTATAACGTGATTATGTTTAGTACTCCTCAGTAATCTTGATTTTTTATGATCAGTTATTTTGAAAACAACGAGAAATTTGAATTGTTATGAAATATTTAACTAGAAATATATTTTTCTTATCGGGTTGCATTAATATGAATTTGTAAAGTATTTATAAAATTAATTAAATTTGAATTTTGATTACCCACTATTTTTTTCAGCAAACGAAAGAAAAAGCGTGTGTAAAATGATGTGAGATAATTTTATGGTTTGCTTCAAAGATTTAGTGCATCTTGGTACGATGCACCTTCAAAAAGAGATATTCGGGATAATCAAATTCACTATTGATTCTCAAGATAGTATAGAGAATCAAAATCAAAACGGTAGATTCTTGATCCTTGATCCCAAAATCAACCTGTTTAGTTGAGGAATTGATGCTGAGCCAATCGGTTCTATCGGACTTTGGTCTAACTCCAATAGTTCTGAGAAAAAACCCGCCATCTTCTCTCCTTCCTTCGAGTTAGTAACTCAAAAAACTAAAGGAAAAAACTCAAGTGCCTGAATAATAGGAAAAATAAAGAAGAAAGAGAGCAAGGGGAGCCGTAGAATAGTGAAATCGATATACTAAATCTTGACTAAAAATTGATATTTGCACTAAAGTTTTAGGGGAAAAAAATATATACTAAATTTTGATAAAAATTTGATATTTGCTCTAAAGTTTTAGAAAAAAAAATGAGATATACAATTTTAGATGTCTCCCACCAATTTCGTCCTTTCCATGTAATCTTCAAAAATAATAAATAATAGTAAAATCTTTCGAATGTTGTAAATGGAAAATCCATTAAAGTTTATTGGTGAATGACATTTGTACTTCTGTAGCCCTAGAAACTATTACTATTGTATCCCTGATTCTTACCTATAAATATAGGGTTTTGGTTTTCAATAATACACACAAAAGGTTTATTGAATTTTCTCTATTTTTTTTCCCTCTCATTTTATAACACGTTATCAGTACGAAACTCTTAGAATGTAGTAATTTTTTTTTTCATAATCATCTATCACGTATATCAAAATTAATTTGATAATACGTGAATTTTACATATACATATGCTGAATCTGCAATACGTGATCTCATCTTTCTCGATCATTGTGTTTTCTTTGTACCTCTCTTTGAATAAATTAATATTTTTTCCTTTACATCAATCCACGTGCGTTTTATGGAGATATATTTATGTTAAATCAATTGATATGCATTAATTCATGTTCCTATAGCCTCCTTATATTTAGATTAACCCTTTACGTTCTACACATGCTTATAATTTTTTTTTGTTTAATTGGTCAATGTTCTTTGTAAGCAAGCTTCAATTCCATATTTCTATTTTGGTTGATTCCATATATATATATATATATAGGGCCTGTTTGAGCCACATTATTTCAAAAAAATGCATTCTTAAACAGTGATTTGACATCATTTCAACCACACATTCTTCAATAAAAAAATATAACACGCAAATCAAAAAAATTTCCTTATTTTTTAATCACATATTTCCCATCAATACACTATTCAAGAATGCATTATTACCAAAATAATATGACTCAAACACTCCCATAATATACAATTAACAAATAACTGTACTCAACTCATCTTTTCTCTCAAATCCATTGGTTTCTGCAAATTTCATGCCTTAATTGGTTAATACTAATTCAATTCTTTTAATTGTACATAATTAAAATTTCGTGCCATAATATGTGAATAGGTTTCTACATGTCACCAATTTTTTTTTTGTGTTTCACTCGACTCACGTTATTAATTCAAAATAATATTTTACATGTGTTTGTATATTAATTAATGGTGAGCAATTGGATCTATTATCATTTTTTTATGTTTAGTTATAAAACATTACATTAAATTTATTTTTAATTGTTGTTGCTCCTGAAATAGCACAACATTATAATTAATATTCCAGAAGAATATTAATCATAGATCTATTCGTTGTTGCTCCAGAAGTAGCACAACATTATAAGAATATAATTTGCTCCTGAAAGCATAAATTATAACTCTCAATATTCCAGAAGAATATTAACATATTGCACTTGAAGAAATAATAGCAAAATATAATGTGTTCCAGAAGTAGCATATGTTTCGAAAAACATATTATTTCAAATTAGTGTTTATCTCTAGAGGAAAACACGTAATTTAAAGTTATGTTGATATTGACTATTTGATTAACATGTGATGATTAATCATATTCTTTGAAACTAATTGTATTTTATTGTGTAGTTAAACAAATGGCAAACATTACGAAACTTAAGTTTGCTGCACTGACATATCTGGTAAAAATTATCAGTCATGGATATTGGAAGATGATATCCATCTCGTCTCAAATGGTCTGGGTGAGACAATAAAAGAAGGAAACAATGAATCCCAGCAGGATCGTGCAAAAGCACTCATTTTTCTCCGTCACCATCTTCACCATGGATTGAAAATTGAATATCTCACTGAGAAAGATCCACAAGTTCTTTGGAAAAAGTTAACTGAAAGATTTGATCATCAGAGGACTATAGTCCTTCCCAAAGCCCGTTATGAGTGGATGCACCTTCGTTTGGAAGATTTCAAAACGGTTAGTGAGTACAATTCTGAACTGTTTAGAATATGTTCAAAGTTGACTTTGTGTGGAGAAAAAATCATTGATGAAGATATGCTGAAAAAAAAACTTTCTCCACCTTTCATGCCTCGAATGTACTCCTGCAGCAGCAATATGGTGAGCGTGCCTTCAAAAAGTGCTCAGAACTTATATCTTGCCTACTAGTTGCTGAACAAAATAATGAATTGTTGATGAAAAATCATGGATTACGTCCAACTGGTTCTGTACCATTGCCTAAAGTAAATGGTACTACATTGTCTGAAGCAAATACAATATCAAGACAAGGACGTGGACGCGGAGGTGGACGTGGACGTGGACACGGATTTGGACATGGACACGGACACAGACGTGTACGTGGAATAAATCATGGAAGAAATAATCAACAAAGTTATCAACAACAAGACAATAAATTCAAAAGGCACAAAGCAAACGAGAGTGGCAAATCTAAAAAGGAACATGAAGAAAGTTGATTCAGATGTGGAATGAAAGGGCATTGGGCACGTACGTGTCGTACCTCAAAACATCTTGTGGATCTCTACCAAAGATCAATCAAGGAAAAAGAAAAATTGGAGATAAATTTTGCTGATTATGATGGTTCAATTGATGTGACTCATTTGGATGTCTCCGATTTCTTTACTGGTCCAAATAGAAATATAGACCATTTGGTTGGGGGTGGTGTGATAGAAGATATAGATTAATTTACTAGTATTTCTTTCATTTTAAAAATTTAGTCTGAAATATGTTTTTACTTTTCCGCACAAAAAAAAAACTCTATTGTGCACCGTTTATTTCATGATATTAAGTAATGTTTACTTTTTTAAATCTAAATTCAAGTTTTTTTTTAAATTTTGTTTATTTTGTCATATTTATAGATTCATGATGGATAGTCAAGATAGCTGCTTAATTGATAGTGCAACTACACATATTATTTTTCAAGACAAAAAATACTTTTTGGACTTAATATCAGCTGAAACTAATGTTAACACGATATCGGGTGTGTCGAATATCGTTGAAGGCTCCGGAAGAGCTTGTATTATTTTACCAAATAATACAAAATTATATATTGACGATGCACTTTATTATAGCAAATCCAGAAGAAATTTGCTTAGTTTTAAAGATATTCACTACAATGAATATCACACTGAGACGATGCAAGAAAATAATATTGAATATCTTTGCATCACTTTTTTTGTATCTGGCAAGAAGCAAATAAAAGAAAATTTTCATGCACTCCCGTCTGGCATGTATTTCACATTTATAAAAATGGTCGAATCAAATAATGTTACGAACCAGAAGTTCGTTGATTCAAAAAGTTTTATACTTTGGCATGATCGACTTGGACATCCAGGAGCCATAATGATGCGTCGAATAATAAACAACTCACAGGGACATCCTTTAAAGAACCAGAAGATTCTTTTATCTAATGATTATCCATGTGCAGCTTGTTCGCAAGGCAAGTTAGTCTTAGCCCTTCAACTACAAAGGTCAGTATTGAATCTCCAACTTTCTTGAAAAGAATACATGGAGATATATGTGGGCCAATACACCCACCATGTGGACCATTTCGTTACTTTATGGTATTAATTGATTCTTCTAC